TCACGCATAAAAGAACTGACAGAGGAACCCAGGTGTGTGGGACCCGGGGCTGAGATCTCCAAGCCTGTACAGTTTGGGACTGGACCTGCCAGTAACTAGACAGTTACACCCACCAACTGCCGTGTAACTCCAACAACGGCCAGGATCCAGAGATTATCACACTCAGCTCCCGGAAGCGCGCGGCCGCATTTGCGGCCGCGCGACATCTTATCATCTCATTCCTAATTTGGTCAAACTGGCAGGCTACCAAATGTAACATGCCCACACGGCAGAGTCTGGCAAACTCCCCGTGGTATACCCAATATGCCAAATACCAGTAACAATGATGGGTCTCATTCTCCTAACCCTGAAAAAGCCTTGAATATGGCACTTTAAAAAAAAAAATCTCAGGACTAGGACGAAGAAGACGTTACTGGCACCTGCTCGAGGCAATCGACGAACAACAGGGTGGTCGTGATCGTGATCGTGATCAAAAAAACTGGTAGTGTTTACAATGATAGTAATGCTTAACAAAACTTCACAAAGTTTCATTCTTGGAAACCTTTTTTGTTCTTTTCCTATTACACTTCCACTGAAATGGAACATTCAGTTCTCCACAGTGCTTTTCCACAGCTTATTCCCTTATCCCATCAGCTACTGGAAAACCATCTTGCAGATCCACTGCGTCCCATCAAATTACACATTACTGCAAGGGATACGTGGAAGTCCAGATTAGCCCCAATCCAAGGCAGTTTACTACGAAACCTGATATGCCTCATTTTGAGCTTTTCTTCCATAATATTGTTATTTTATTATGTTAAAATGACATGGCTTTTAAAGGAAGATTTCAAGGGTTCATTCGGCTATATAGCTAAATGTTCAACTTCCTAAGCAGTAAGTTTTTACTCAACCTTAAAGTTACAATAACAAGACACAAGAAATCATATTCAGGCCCAAGAGACCTAGATTCCAAGTACAGTTCTGTTGTGAATTATGAATTAGATATTTCTTCAAAATAGTTTACCTCTGAAAATCAGATGTTTGATTTAAATGGAATCCACACCCCCTTCTAATGCCAAACTTTATGGTTTAATCTCTCTTGTGCTAGTTGCCTGGGTAAGCTTAGCTCAGGAGAACTCCCTTGAAAAGGACTGGGTCAGGTTTCAGGGAGTGTTAAGCACCTGAGGTTTAAGACAACTCTCTGTCCTAGTCACTTAATGATGCTCTTTCAATGTCAGTAAGAGCAAAGTGAAATTGAACCACTTATTCTCTTCAATTGTTATCTTAGTCCAATGTGCACGAACACACAAATTTTTGAAACACCAGGAACTAACGTGTAGTGGGAAATCTTTAGAGTGGAACTCTGGAAGTCTGTAATGGAAATCTACAATCTTCCATAATTAGGGAAGCAATTAATAATTAGATGAGTAATTGGAGGGGGGCGGGTTGAGCTTCCCTCCCCGCCCCAAGCAGAGCCCCAGCAACTGAAGACCTCTGTAACCAGCCACAGCCATGCATAAGACCACTCTCCACACGCTTGGACGAGCCTCACGCATGAAGGAACCGGCAGAGGAAACCAGGTGTGCGGGTACCCGGGGCTGAGATCTCCAAGCCTGCTCGGATCGGGACTGGGCCTCCTCCACCCAGATCCCCTATCTTCAGTAGCTAGGCAGTTACACCCACCAACTGCCCCCAGGGCCATGTAATACCATCAACGGCCAAGACCCAGAAAACCAACTATAAAACCAAAGCTACTATACTATACTATACTATACTATACTATACTATACTATACTATACTACCAAGCTCCTCTTATTGTCTAGTTCTCGTTCTCAGAGAACCCAACAGGCTACTGAGAATATCTTGCCCGCACAGCAGAGTCTGGCAAGCTCCCTGTGGCGTATATGATATGCCAAAACCCAGTAACAATGATGGGTCTCATTCCCCTGACCCTGGAAGAGCCTCCATTGTGGCATTTGCTAAAATCTCAGGGCTAGGACAAATGGAGACGTTACTGGTGCCTGCTCGAGGAAATCGATGAACATTGGGATGACAGTGATACAGTGAAGTAAGTAATGTGGAGCACGTGACTAAATCATCAAAAGTCCTTGAATGTGCTCAGAGACTTTTTCATACGCTGAAGTTACTGACAGTAGCAACTATTAAGTTTAAAGATCACAAGACTTATACAGAGCAGTACTAATGTATTTTTTTGGGGGGGCTGGTTCTTTGGTTTGGTGCCAGCCCCCAGCTTCCCATATGGTTCCCCGAGCACTGCCTGCCAAAATGTCATCCAAGAACAAAACAAAAAACAACAACCCTCAAATAAAGTTTCAAGTATAAAGACCATTTCCCTCAAACTTCACTAATTCACTATTATTAATCTGCCAAATAGCAAATCCAATAAACCTGGAATATACTTGAGATCACACATAACAGTGTCAGAAATCATTTACCTTTACCGTTGACATGTAAAGACATGACTCAATCTTAAATGTTAGAAAATCATTGAGATTAGCATGAACCTCCACTACTATTTTGAGACTATCAGTTTTATTTAGTTGGATAATTGAGGGTTATTTTTGTTTCCCACAATAGATAAGATTTTTTACAAAATGAGGGCAGTCTCCTGGGAGGGCCAGGCCAAACTATTACTTACATGCTAGCTGTTGAACAGCACTACCTAATCCTGAAATACATTTTCTGAAAGAAGATATCTTTCCTTTTTTTTTTTTTAAATAAGCTACAGAAAGTGCCTTTTCCTTGCTGTCATGATCAGTTCCTTCCATAATTTCCTTTAAGAACCTAATTTGCAATTGCTGAGTTAAAACAAGTTGTAGAGCTTCTTTAATTAGAGATAAAATATGGAAAGAATGTTTGTTTTCAGACTGCTCAGAACTTAACCGAAACCTTTAGCAATGTAAGGACAATCTATGAATCAAAATATAATGCTGAAACAGTGGCCTTAAAAATAAATAAATGAGTGGGTTAGAGCAATAGTACAGTGGTAGGGGGCTTGCCTTGCATGCGGATGACCCGAGGTTTGATCCCCGGCACCCCATATAGTCCCACAAGCCTCACCAGGTGTAATTCCTAAGTGCAGAGCCAGGAGCAACTCCTAATCACTCCAGGTTTGGCCCCCAAACAAAAACAAAACAAAATAATGCTTCTCCCCCAAACCCCAACCTCCAAATAAATAAATATGATCAATGACTAGGTCACTACTTTTGTAGAACTAGAAAGCACCTTAAGAGTGATAGAACAAATGGGAGTGCCCTGCTACAGAGGCAGGGTGGGATGGGGGATGGTGGGGTTGGTGGGGGTGGAGAATGGGCACTGGTGGTGGGATGGGTACTAGATCATTGTATAACTGAAACCCAAGCACAACAACTTGTAAGTCTACAACTGTACCTCATGGTGTTTCATTAATAAAACAAACAAAAACCAAACAAACAAAAAAAAAGATTGTTTTCTAATTCGCTCTGTACTGGAGTTTATCTGGGAGGCAATGGACAACCATAACATTTTAGTCTTTAAAAATGAGATTAAAAGTTCTCATTTCATTTTCTCCCCTATCTATAATATTAAAAGTTGTCTCTGTTTCTATGTCTAGAACAATATAATTCTATTTACTACTGTTTTCTACAGATATATCAGAAATATTTTGAACACTTTCTCCGCAGGTAAGAATTTTTATTTAGAACCTAAAGAGAGAGCTGAGAGGTCCGGCACCCAGGCTCTCAGTGTGAGGCCCAGGTTGCATCCACACAGCACGCTGGGAACAAACCCCTCAGCCCTGGCGCAGTAGAGGAGAGCCCTAGACCATAATTAAAAAAATTTTTTTGAGCTTCCATATGACCCTGCAATACCACTTCTGGGAATATATCCCAAGGGTACCAAAAAGCACAATAGAAATGACACCTGCATTTGTACATTCGTTGCAGCACTGTTCACAATAGCCAGAATCTGGAAACAACCCGAGTGCCCGAGAACAGATGACTGGTTAAAGAAACTCTGGTACATCTACACAATGGAATACTATGCAGCTGTTAGGAGAGATGAAGTCATGCGATTTGCATATAAGTGGATGGCATGGAGAGTATCAGGCCAAGTGAAATGAGTCAGAAAGAGAGAGACAGACACAGAAGGACTGCACTCATTTGTGGAGTATAAAATAACATAATATGAAACTGACACCCAAGGACAGTAGACACAAGGGCCAGGAAGACTGCTCCATCGTTGGAAGCCTGCCTCATGAGCTGGGGCAGAAAGCAGCTGGGATGGAGAAGAGATCACTAAGTCAATGATGGTTGGAGAAATCATTGGGGATGGAGATGTGTGCAGAAAGTAGATAAAGGACCAAACATGATGGCCTCTCAGTATCTGTATTGCAAACCATAATGCCCCAAAGTAGAGAAAGAGTATGGGGGAAATTGTCTGCCATGGAGGCAGGGGAGGATTGCAAAGGGTGGGGGTATATTGGGGACATTGGTGGTGGAGAATGTGCACTCGTGGAGGGATGGGTGCTCGATCATGGTAAGACTGAAACTCAAACACGAAAGCTTTGTAACTGTAGCTCATGGTGATTCAACTAAAAATAATTTTTTTTATATAAAGTTATGTCCCTGAGAGTCATGATTACTCATTTTACTTCTTATTCCCATTGACTGAAGCCTCCCATGAGAGGTCAGATGATGCCGCAGAAGAGTCAAAGGTTGAAAACCTGGTTCCCAACCCTGAGAAGCTTACACACAATCTGAAGGAAGAGCAGCCAACTCAGAGCCCGTGAGGATGCTCAAAGGTGCTCGGCATGGATGACTGCGTGGAACCACTGTACACTGAGGAGGGTTCTGGTGGACAGAGGAACCGAACCTGACAAGGTACACGGAGACTAACCAGGACACAAATACTTGGCCGTGGTTTGCTAATGGTCTGATAACCTTTTTTTTTTTTAATTTCAAAACACGATTTAAATATTTTAATCTACTTTTCTCTCTCACACACAGACGAATTTACTAACCTTCTACATTCATGGCTTCTCTCAGAGCCTGAAGTTTCTTTTGCCTCTCACGGATTCGGTCCAGAGCACTTGATATTGCTGAGGAGGTGGGCGGCTCCCGCGTGTGAAGCGTTTGCTCTGCTCTCTGAGGGCTAAAGACATCCAAGGCCAAGCTGCCGTCGGAGTATCTGGCCTCTTTTCTTCGAGGAGAAACGGAGGTCCTCACCGTGACTGCCTCAGGGAGATGGTGTCCGTATCTGTTGGTCCCTCCAGAAGACACCTCTCTGTCAGCTGTGCAAAGCAAGTCCATGGATGAAGCCCAAATCTTCTTTTTGGGGAGCACATCAATGCCAGGGATAACTTTCTTTTCTGGGCTACTAGCTTTGAACTGGTAAGGGGAGCAAGTGTTTTCAAAATCTTCATGTCCTGAATTATCTGATAAAATGTCCTTGAAATAATCTTCCTCATCTTGTGTGTCTCTGATGGACAGAAATCCCATAGATTTACTAAGCCCTTTGTTTAGAAAGGTCTGCTGAGAGAATGGAGACTTGTGTGTGTCTAGTACGTCAGAAGTAGAGCTTCTTCCTGGAATGATAAGAATCTATCATGTATGCATAGAAGTTTTAGAAATAACTGGAATGTATCCTTACTACTGACAGTGAAAGTGGTGACGGCTTTCTCAATTTCCCAAAGGGAGGATCAGAGATGAAATGGCATGCTTGTGGGAGTGACAGCTGAAGTGGAAAGAGATGCGATCTTTTGTATACACAGTTCAATATCTCTTATCTAATGAAATCAACAATATACGGAACTTACTTTTTTTTGCTTCGTTTTACTTTCTATTCAAGCAAGGCGAATCATTTGGTTTTAAAAAGAGAGAAAGCTTCTGGTACTAAACAGTTTGGTAGAGTATTAGTTACCTATGAAAGGCTTTAGGGAAATGTAATATAAAATAATAATACATAGTACTGGGCCTGAGCGACAGTGCAGGGCTTAAGCCCATACCGTAGTTATGATTTGTCCCTTGAACACTGCTGGGTGCAAGGTTGGAGCCCCAAGAACCCAACGTGGACTGGGTACCCATCAGCACTGCAGGCCCCAAGCAGCATTACACCCTCAGACCCTCACAATGAATCCTTGGCTGAAAATGACCAGGACCTGCCCCCAGCCCCCTGGACGCTGCCCGGAAGTCCTCCTTCCACTTCCTAAATAATGGTACATGGAGAATGCCTTTAGCTTCTAGAGGCATCATTCAAACACGTATAAACTCACGATATATTTTGGTCATTTCAATACAAATGTTTAAAAGTTGAAACAAAGAATTGTTATTTTTTGGATGGAAAAAAGAATCTTAACATTTGGAACTCTGAGTTACCAAAGTTTTATTATGAAAATATATTTTCTGAAAAATTTTAACTGAAATCCACGTAATCTGATTATGTCTAAATTAGAGAAGAAGGTATTATTTTCCATGGCAGACTTTTATGTACCAACACAGTTTTTCCTCACATTCATATGTTGGTATCTTTCAGCTGGAATTAACTGCCAGTTTTTGTTTATTCTTAATATTAAAACCAAAAGTTAAAGCCAGGAACCACTTATGCCTTTTTATTCCTTGAGGGCAGCAGTCTCAAACGCAGTGAGACATAACAACAAGGTGATTCAACAACAACAACAACAAAATCACCTGTACATGCTCCACGTTGCAAAAAGAAAGCAGAGAATTATAGTTTCCAAAAAGCAACCCATAAAGAGTGATAATTTCCTGTGCAAGCTTCTGTGATTCCTTTTTGATAGCCAATCTGCCATGTATGTATCATGAAGCAACAGTTAAAACCTTCCAAGTAAAACAAACTACTTGTTAATTCATTTGATGACGTCAACTGTCTTCAGGGAAACATCCAGATCTTTAATTTCCTGGGCCCAAATTTTACCTTAAAAGTCTCAGAACAGTGAATTCATTTCAGGATGGCAACAAATTAATATTAGTTAAAAATCACACAAATATTGGGCTTCCATTGCAACTCATCGTCTTTGGGGTCTGACGGCCAATGAAGGCAGCAGCAGTATTTGTGGGATGTCACATAGCAACCGTGAGCCCCGCCGCTGGCGCCAGGCACCAGTCTCCAATGGAGACGTTACTGGGCCCGCTCGAGCAAATCGACGATCAACGGGAGGGCCTTTACCTTTACCTTTACCGTCACATAGAAACCTCTGAGAAATCCCCCAAGCCACACCCAGACAGACTTTTATGTACCATTCTCACAAACGCTGGCTTCTAATTTAAGGTAGTACAAAAAAGTTGACTATCAGGTCTGCTATTGTATTTTACCTTACTCTATTGATTTTCTCTTTACAAACCTGGTGTCCTTCTGCTTCTCGGAGTGATCATTTCTAGTCTTTGCATTTTTCTCCCTGTTGACTTTGTTTTTTCCTCCCCTATGGACTATCTGAATATGGGACTCGCTAGGGTATTGACTTTAGGACCCACCTTTTTGCTGCTTTCTTATATAATTACTCCTACTTACAAGGATCTAGGCTCTATGGTGACAACTCCCAAATTCATATTTTTGGCACTCACCACTTCTGGGAGTGCTAAGAGATTTTATGTAACAGGAACTTCAAGTCTATCACCGAAGCACCTCAAACTGAGCATGCTTAAAACTCATCTTTGACTTTCCACACACAGCGCTATCCATTCTATGCAACTCTTTCCAGTTCAGTAAGCGATGCCATTATGCAGCTGATTTGAGAAAAATCAGAAATATGGGCACCTCCCCCCAATCCTTCTTCCACCTTAGTACCCGCGTTCAACACACCAGAAAACGTTGGCTAGTTAAGTTCTCAGAGACACATTACTCCACACAATCATTTCCAGTTTCAATGTCACCGCCATATTTCCAATTAACATTATTACCTGAGTAAAGGTAAAAGGTAAAGGCCCTCCTGTTGATCATCGATTTGCTCGAGCGGGAACAGTAATGTCTCCATTGGAGATTTTGTTGTTACTATGTTTGCCTGAGTAGGGAACTGCAAATACCTCATGGTTTCTTCGACTTTCTTTAAGTATTTTCCACTTCGCAGCAAGAATTACCTTTTCAAAATACAAATTTTACCAATGCTACTACCTGCTTAAATCTTACTGCACTCTAAATAAACTCTGTACACCTCTTTGGTCTGCCACTGGAATCCCTTTTAGTCCAATTTCCATTCTCTTATTCCATCTAGGTTGTAATTTTTCTGTTACCCTCTTTTTTGTTCACTGGGGCCTCTGTACATGTTTCTCCTGCATAGTGAATGGTCTATTCCAAATCTTTCTCTCTCCACACCCTCCTGTGTGTTTAGAACACACACCCGGCTCTGAGGGATCACTCCCACATGCTCGGAGTGCTGGGGTACTGGGGACTAAACCTGGGTCGGCTGTGTGGAGGGACACATACAACCCGCTGTACTACTGCTCCAGCCCTTGCTCCAAATCTTTCTGATGGTTAGCTGTTTCCTATCTTACAGTTTTAAGTCTATGATTCCTTCAGTTAAGTCTTTTCTGCCCGCTAATTAAGTAGCTCGCTTTCCATATTGATCATAAATCCATTCCATTTGTAACAGGTAATTCATTCTCTATTTGGTCATCAGCCTTGACTAACGCTGTATTAAGGAACTACTGTATCCTCGGAGTCAAGTCTTTTTACTACCTCCATGGGGTCTAAAACAAATTGATAATAAAGTGGTACTTGATAATGACAACTTTACAAATAAAGTTTTTTTTATTGCCTATACATAAGTAGGTATAAAAAAATCAGTTTATATTTATTAAAAGTCCAGGGTTTCATAATTTTCAATTCCATAAGGAAATAGACACAACTGTAAGGAAATCAATTAAAAGTTTGTGCTAATTTTTTTCTAAAAAAGAAATAAATTTGGGGCTCGAGTGATGGGCACAGCGGGTAGGGCATTTGCCTTGCATGCAGCCGACCCAAGTTCGATTCCCAGCATCCCATATGGTCCCCTGAGCACTGCCAGGGGTAATTCCTGAGTGCGGAGCCAGGAGTAACCCCTGTGCATCACCAGGTGTGACCCAAAAAGCAAAATAAATAAATAAATAAGAAATAAATTTTCTGTAGAGTTTAACTTATGGATTAATTTTTCTCTTTTTGTGGGGCTGGAGAGATAGATAATACAGTGGGCAGGACGCTTGTTCGATCTCTGGCATCCCATACAATTCCCAGAACCTACCAGGAATAATTCCTGCGCACAGAGCCAGGAGTAACCCCTGAGCATTAAAGGGTGTGGTCCAAAAAAACCAAAAAAGGAAAAAAAAAATCTCTATTTGCTTGGCAATCCCAAGTTACCATAAAATCTCATGACCACTTATGAAAACACCTTTTGAGCCATTGGTTTCCACTAATAGGATAAAAGGTAGATGGGGAGGTGCCAGAAATCAGAGGTCGAGATGCATGAGACTAGTGATATTCTTGAGAAAACAGGCTAAAGTGCTGTGGAGGTATGAAATAAGAACCAAGGCGGTATGTGCAGATTCGTTGAAGAAGGGCTCAAGTATTCTTTAAGAGTCGCAAAAGTATTCCATGGTAAAATGAGTGTGGCTGACCAGTTTCCTAGAGGAAGTGCTACGAAATAGCTATGATTAAGTTCAATGGTTTCCCCAGTATATCTATTAACCTCGTATTGCTTTTCTGTTTTCTGAGGGGAAAAAGCAGATATACCTTACATAGGTACACAGGTACGTCAAGAGTTGTTTCGATTTTTGTTATGCCACTAATACACAATTTTCAACTACACAGTCAGATATAAAGTTATGTGAAGAACACTCTTAAGTGATGAAATAGATAATATACATATGGAATCATATCACAAATCACAAATCATCCTGTTAGTCGTCGATTGCCTCGAGCAGGCCCCAGTAACGTCTCCTTCATCCTAGCCCTGAGATTATATTCAAGGCTCTTTAGGAGAATGAGACCCATCGTTGTTACTGGTATTTGGCATACTGGGTATGCCACGGGGAGTTTGCCAGACTCTGCTGTGTGAATCATATAATAATGAAATAACATAGTTGTTTTAAATTGCTAAAGCACTAGGGAAAAATTTCACTAATCTGCACCTGAAAATAAGGGATAGCTATAGAATCTTTTTCTTTTTTCCCCCTTTTGGGTCACACCCAGCGATGCTCAGGGGTTACTCCTGGCTCATGCGCTCAGGAATTTCTCCTGGAGGTGCTGGGGGACCAGATGGGATGCTGGGAATCGAACCCGGGCTGGCCTCATGTAAGGCAAAACCCCTCCCCGCTATGGACCTCTACTATGATAATCCTTTCACTGCTCCAGTCCCTAGCTATAGAATCAATCTTTATATGTAATGCGAAGAAACACAGAACTTTGGGTTCATTTATAAGTTGCTTAAGTCTAGCAGACCAGTGAAAATCATGCACTGCTGTTAATACCAGTGTTACTTATTTATTGGAGATTAGATAAAAAAAATCAAATCTTTAATTAATTTCTAAATATGTGGCCTGGACTACTGTATTTATTTTATCTAACAGGATATCTACTCAATTAAGAAATGAAATT